TTTTTAATTGAATTGGATATGAAAATTTACAGAAAAAAATATTTTTCACGTAATTGAAACATTTGTGATATCACCCTATGGCACAATTGTCACAAACGAAAAGAAAACGTTTCTAGTTGGGGAAAATGACAGTGAATCTTACAAATTGTTTCTGACTATGTACAAAACTGTACAAAACCACAAATGATATGATGATCGATGAGCAAATGGGAATTGTTTCGTACAGTTTATTTTCGTACTCTGACTTTAACTACTTTATACATATGTAAAGAGTTGAAATGTTGATTACTCATTTTACTCGAAATGTTGATTAATCATAAAGCAACTTACTCAAATATTTTTATTTTTGGTTAATCAAAAATCTTGATTACTCGAGTAACTGAAATTTGAGTAATCATAATTTCCAATTAATCGAATAATTGAGTTATTTACTTTATGATTAATTAAAATTTTCAGTAATCAATTAATCGCACAGCCCTACTACAAATACAATTGTAAAACTTCTAAGGTATTTCGTCTGAAATAAGTCTATGGCCCTTATTATGAGTTGCTTTAGAGACTTGCATTAATCAAGGAATTCCACGTATTGAGGGTTGCGGTTACCGTGTACGCATTGTATGTATATATTTTTATTTTTTCGTCGGATAAACAGAACTTAAGTTACGAACAATTATAAGGCTCAAACTACGTAAAACGCGTTTTTATACCTTAAGTCCAGATTGTCAGGGGGATTCAAAATTCTAAGTATGCATATTTTTTGTGCATCAATAAATCTTTGACTTTATCAGCCACACAGTGTTATTATCCCGACGAAATCCTTGACTGTGGTACCGGGTGGGGAACGGTACATAACGGCAGAAGGTTTAGTATGGGTTAAAGTCTCACACCGACGGGGTTAGGCTTTCGATGCTTCGTCCTCGTAAAAAACATGTGCAGTAAAAAGTTAATTATTTAAATCGACGAATAGTTTTATAACAACTTTTGTGAACTTCTATTTATTTGTTTGTGTACAACATACCTCTATTGGTCACAATAATTTTAAGCTATAATAACAATTTTTTATTAATAATTATTGGTTTTGAAAAAAAAATTGTATAGCCTCCCCCCCCCTAGATTTCGTTCTGGCTACGCCCATGTACGCATCCTTTCGCCCCAAAATAATTATGTAGACAGGGTGTCCTATACCACCCGTCCACCCCTTATATTTTTTATTGAAAAAAAAGCAAAAATATGAACTACCAAATCGGAGATGCTCTATCTCGGAAGTGGGTTAAACTGACCGGAAGTCCATTTTTGTGTGTGATTTGCCTATTGTTTTTTTATTCTAGATCTTTTACATACTTAATATTTTTAATACATATGTACATACATAGAGTACTTACTGTTGGTTTTAACCGACTTCCAAAAAAGGAGGAGGTTATCAGTTCGTTGGAATATTTATTTATTATTTTTTTTCATGTATGTTACCGCATAACTTTGGACCACGTCAACCGATTTCGATTTTTGCATCGGAAAGGTAGTGTCTCAGCGGTGGTCCCATACTAGAGTTGTCAAACTATCGATGGCACTATCGATAGTATCGATAGTTTAAATTTTTTTATACTATCAATACTCATTGATAGTTTTTTCTTATACTATCAAAAATATCGATAGTTTAGTCGGACTATCGATCATCTCTACCAATTATTTTGAAATCATTTGAATTTTTTAATTTGAATTAAAAATTTTGTTTTTTAGTGTGATGCCGACGTCATATTCAAATATGCACGCATTTAGGCCAAAATACATACATATGTTAATCGTAAATCCTGTTTTGTATGTATAACTTGTGTTTGTTTTTGAACTTTCTAAAAAGAAAAGTATTTTGGCTAAGCATTTACTTAATTTTGAATGATTATAACTTTTATAAGATAATATTTATTTAACTATGATCCTGTAAAAACAAAGCAACCTAACTGATTTAGCGCTATCGATAGTGCTATCGATAGTTTTGTTTTTTTCGAGACTATCGTGAATATTGATAGTTTTTCTGAAAACAAAAAAGCAAAATCATCGGATCATGAGATATATTTGCATTTATCTTGCTATGCTATTTTGGGTTTCGACGTTGCATATTTTGCAGCGATACGAAATGTTGTTTCCCATGTATTTTGTTATTGTGTGTTTGCAAGTTATGCAATCCATGCAATCCGTGCTACGTGCAAAGGCTTTGCAAGATTTGGAGAATACCCCTATTACGATCACACGTCGGCTAACAAGCATTTTTGTGTACATAAGAAAATTAATTTTTGTTTATAAAAGATTAAGAATTTTAATGTTTGGTTTGTCTGAGGTTATGATTAACGTTATTTTAACAGTTAATCCCTAGGCATAACATTTCTTAAATGATGGTCGTTCGTTGTCTATTTATCTTAAGCTATTCTTGTTTTTTGTTTTGCCGGAAGTTCACAAATACCAGGTGTAGAACAGAGATAGTGAATATGGCAAAAAACATTTACTTTGAGATTAACTTTATTGTGTGCATTTTTGTGGTGTCTTGTATTATTTTAGTATTATTATTATAATTGAGTTTCTGGAATTAGCAATTCACCAGACAACAATGGTTTGATAGAAAAGTGAAGAAAATACAATAGTAAAAGTTTATAGCTGTTAATTTAAAGTAGAAAGGCAAACATTTATTTATACTTTAGTACTTCCGTTCCTCAATTTAAATAAACTGAATAATCTATTTTTCTTTTTTGGATGTTGTTCCCGACGACAGGGTTGGTATGTGATGTATTTTGGAACGAATTACATTGAAGATGGCACATTGCCGAAATCGGTTTGTCTCCAAACGAAAATTGACAAGGGATGACGGAAATGCGTTCCAAAATAAATCTATCTTACCTTTCTTGTACGTTTTGAGCAATGTCTCGAGTGTATTTTCATATAAACTTACCTAAAATTTATTCGTTTATGGAAATAATATTCAGATATTACAATAAATGATTATACTTTTAATTTATTGGTTTGCTTCTAAAGGATTGGGATTTTCAAATGGTTTGGCAACCATACACTAAACACTTTTTTACTTTTTTTTTTGTAAAACTTCTAAGGTATTTCGTCTGCAATAAGTCTATGGCCCTTATTATGAGTTGCATTCGATTTTCGATCTTCGCTGGCTATTGAAGATCGAAAGTAAAATTCGTATTATGAGCAAGCGTGTCGAAATTTTCGTTGAGTATCGAATGTTCTGTCGAACAGAATTTTGCTTTCGTTGGTGTAGCGAAGTGTTAGAAAATTGTGGAAAATGTATGATTTTGCATTTGTTTTCTTACTTTTTGGCGGCTAGACACTAATTATAAACAATTTTTATTAATTTCATGTAGTTCTAACGTCGTGAATACTAAACACAAGTTCGAAAGGCTTGTTTTACTTACGAAAGAAAATCCCAATACTCTGTTGGCACGATCTCTGAGAACAAAATCATAGAGCTGTTTATA